GTCCCGAACCAGGAAGCAATGGATTTCTTGCTTCTGCCACAAACTTCCCAGCTGTAAGTCTTCCAACCTTGTAAATATTCCTTTATATGTGGTTCAGAGTACTGGGACCATTCCCTGAGCCTTCTTGGTCCTGTATTCTGTGTTGTTCTCGGCAGAGCTCGTCACGACACTTCCACCCAATCCGCCATCTTTTTCCGGAACGACATATTCACTTTCAAAATATCTAATATAAGTGTAACTATCATGGCTCTGTAAGATCAGCCCTGGACTGCAAACCAGAGGGTCTGCAGTTCAAACCACCAATTCCTCATTGGAAACCCTAATGGGGTGCTGTGAGTCTGAACTGCCTTGGTGGTACTTAACAACAACAGCAACAGCAATGAATCCCTCCAAAAACAGGAGAAAAACTGGGACACAAATTATATTCAAGGAGTTAATGGTGGAAACATTTCCATACTGATAAAAGACATAAACTAACATATTCAAGAACATCATAAAATCCCAGTAGAATGCTCACAAAGCAAACCACACATGGATACATGATAATACATATTCAGAAAAAACAAAAAGATGAGATAAAATTAAAAATAGTAAGAGGCAAAAGGCATATTACATTCAAAGGAACGACAATAAAACTTTCACATGAATTGTCAATAGAAAAGATAAATGCAAGGAAGCAACAGAAGGACATACATATTTTTAATGCTGAAAAAAAACCCTTGCCAATATAAAATTCAATATCCATGAAATTATCCTTTTAGAAATATAAATCAATGGTATTAGACTATGTCAGTTTTTTGAAAAACCTTTCATTTACTCTTTGAGTATTTCATGTTGGATGTATAAATATTAGATAATCCAGACTAAAATTATTGCAGAATCACCAATATCATATAATCTACATATGCTGTTGTTAAGTTCTGGCCGAGTTGATTCCAATTCATAGCTACCCTGTCTAGGGTTTCCAAGGAGTCGCTGGTGAGTTTGAACTGCTGACTTTGTGGTTCTCAGTCAAGTGCTGATCCTATTGTGCCACACCAGGTCCAGTTTGCATATATTTGACATACATTTACGTGTACTTAACAATATAATTTTAACATAGAATGTTAAAATGGGTATGTAGACAAATATGTTTTATTTACTGGATAATATTAAACTTCCTGATTTGTAACTTACTTCTATTTCTTATAAATATATTGAGAACATATTTCACTCACCAAAGACAAACCATGTTGTTATTTCTCACTGCTCTATTGTATTGTATGTGATGTTATTAAGTATCATGGAGTCAGTTCTGACTCATAGTGACCCTATGCAGGGTTTCCGGGGCTGCAAATCTTTACGGGAACAGAAAGCCTCATCTTTCTCCCATAGAACAGCTGGTAGTTTTGAACTGCTGACCTTGAGGTTAGCAGCCCAATTCTAAACCACGATGCTACCAGAACTCCTTATCATGTGTGATAGATATGCATATTACATTCAAAGGAATAACAATAAAACCCACATAACTACTGTAAATGTCCAAGAAAACACAACAAAAGATCTCAGCACATGTCCAAAACCAGAAAAGAGTAACTGAGACAAATGAGCTGGTGGCAGACACAGACTTTCCAGTTGAAGAACAGCAGGCTTTGGATCTTCCTGAGAAAGAATTCAGAAGAATGATATGGAAACAAAGTCTAATGGACCGAAAGGGGTGGAGGAAAATGAGGAAGTCGGGAAAGTGCTACAGGAGCAATCAAACAAGATAGATATAGCATTGGAAACAATTCAGAACCTTCAAAAAGAGGTCCAGACGATTAATAATAAAATATCAGAAACAGACAATACACTGAAAGGGTAAAGGAGTAGAACTGAAGAGATGGAAGCCAGAACCAGTGAGCTGGAAGACAAATCTCTCAATGAAATGAAAACACAGAAAAAATATTTCAGACCAGCAAACTCTGAGATAAATCTCCTCTATGTGGTGCTGTGGGTTAACGCATTGGACTACAAGGTCGGTTTGAACTGCAAACTTGGAGGTTCAAGCTCACCAGCCACTTGGAAATCCTATACAGGGTCCCTGTGAGTCAGAACTGACTCAATGGTACTTAACAGCAACAACAAAACCATTCCTACTATAGAGAAAACATAAATCAATGATATTAGACCATGTGTCTTAAAAAAAAACACCTCTCACTTATTCATTGAGTAAATTGTGTTAGATGTATAAATAATTATATAATACAGATTAAAATTATTGCAGAATAACCAATGTCATATAATTTACATATGTTGTTGTTGTTAAGTGCTGTCGAGTCGATTCCAACTCACAGTGAACCTATATAGGGTTTCCAAGGAGCACCTGGTGGATTTGAACTGCCGACCTTGTGGTTCACATTCCAGGGCTGATCCTACAGTAACACACCAGAAGTCCATTTTAGATATATTTAATATATATTTACATGTATTTAACAACATAATTTTAACATAAAATGATATCTGGATGTGTAGACAAATATGTTTTATTTAATGGCTGATATTAAACTTCCTGATTTGGAACTTATTCTATTTCTTAAAAATATGTTGAGGATATATTTTGATTGCCAAAGACAAACCATGCTACTTCTCACTGTTGTACTGTATTGAATGTGATAGATATGATGTGATTAATTTAGTCAAATATACTCTTTAGAAAGCATTTTATACAGGTCAGTATAATTTTTATTTAAGAATTGCATAATATATTGTTATGATGTATATAGTTTAGCCAGCTGGTGAACTTTTGTTAAATATTTACTTCTAAATGATTGCTGATAGAAATACCAATGACATGAACATGTTGTTGTTGTTAGGTGCCATTGAGTCAGTAGGTATTAATAAACCTTTCTTTATTTTGTGCTCTAAAAACAATAAAATATATGTGGGCACATGTAAATATCAGTGTATGATAAAATTGTATTAATGGTGAGTATAAAAGATTGATAAGACACAGATTATATTTGTTATCATTTGTCTAAAAAGCAAAAAACAAATGAAGGTACAAGTAATTTAGAAGAGAATTACTGGAGAAATATCCTGAGAGAATAAAGCAAGTACAACTGTTCATACTTGAAAAATATGGTCCAGCAAAAGCCATTATCTGCAGTTTGTTTCATTCCAATTTCTCTTCTAGAATTATAGGGGTAAGTTGTTTTTGTTAGGTGCCATTGAGTTGACACCAACTCATAGCAACCCTTATCAACAACAGAACAAACCACTACCTGGTCCTGTGCCAACCTCACAATTGTTACTACGCCTGAGTACATTGCTGCTGCCTCTATGCCAATCCATCTAACTTGAGGTCTTCCTCTTTTCACTGACCCTCCAATTTACCAAATATGATATTTTTTTCCATGGACTGGTCATTTCTGATAATATGTCCGAAGTATGAGAGATGAAGTCTGGCCATCCTGGCTTCCAGGGAGCACTCTTTCTGTACTTCCTACAACACAGATCTATTTGTTCTTTTGGCAGTCCATGGTACTTTCAGTATTCTTCTCCAATACCATAACTCAAATGCACCAGAGGTAACAGTGACTTGAAAAAGTAAACTGCTCAAATTGTGGATTATATGCAAAATAAAGAGCAAAATATTCATGAAACACAGTGATATCTAATAAATAATTAAAGGCTTGGAAGAAACATGAACCAAGACTTTTTTGGTGCAGTTGTGGTAGGGATACCAACATTGCGAGTCATTTGACTGACAGCTAAGCTGAGCCTTTTCACATCTTGATGCAAAAGTTCATGTAAAGCAGGGAGAAACTTACTGAGAAAAGTAGTCTACATTTTCCATAATCATTGTCATTTGTGCTTTGTAAAAAACACATGAACCACCTGGTCCCTGATCTGTTTAGTTTTGATCCCATAAATGATGGGATTCAGCATTGGTGGAACAATAATGTAGATACTAGGGAGCAAGACACGGATAGAGGGTGAGATGTGGTGTCCAAACCTCTGAGTGAGGGCTGAGAAGAAGCCAGGCCCATAAAAGAGGATGATGACACAGACATGAGAACCACAGGTATTGAGAGCTTTGTGACGAGCATCTTTGGAAGGGATGTGGAAGACAGTCCAGAGAATCAGCATATAGGAAACAAAAACTAGCAAAATATCTGGGACCAAAGTTGACATTAAGACAAAAAATCCATACCACACATTTACTTGGATATCATCACAAGAAAGGCGGGCCAACATAATGTGCTTACAGGTAGTGTTCATAAGGATGTTACTTTTGCAGAAAGTCAGTCTTTTCAGAAGGAATACTATAGGGAAAACTGTGCAATAACCTCTTAGAACAAGAGTTATACCGATTTTCCCAATCAGGTCATATGTAAGAATAGTGGTGTATCTCAAAGGGTAGCATATGGCAATGTAGCGATCAAATGCCATCACTAACAAGATCCCTGATTCAGTGATGAAGGTGGAAGAGAGGAAGAAGATCTGCGTGATGCAGCAGTCCAGGGAGATCTCCCTAGCATTGAACCAGAAGATGGCCAAGGCCTGAGGTATTATGGACGTGGAGAGGACAATGTCTGCTCCAGATAGCATGCAGAGGAAGAGGCACATGGGTTCATGCAGGCTGCGCCTTGTGAGGATGATGAAGATGAGCAGGCTGTTCCCAAGTAGGGCAATGACATAGGAAATGACAAAAGGGATGGAAATCCACACATGTTGATCCTCTAGGCCAGGGATGCCCAGCAAGCGGAAGACTGTGTGACTTGTACCAGTATGGTTCACGGTTGTCATGTCCAGGGTGTCCAGGGAGATCAATGGAACTCAGCCACCTTTATAGAGACAGGAAACTTCAAATTACACTCTGCTTTTTAATGTCACCAGGACTACCTAGCTGGTCTCATTCTGAACCTTACTGTGGCACTGTAGATGCAGCACTGAGCTATGAACCTCAAGGTTGGCAGTTCAAACTCAGCAGCTACTCCTTGGAAACCTTATGCAGAGTTGCCATGATTTGGAACTGACTTGCCAGCACTTATCAGCATCAAAACTGCTATAAGATGAATAAGATATGACTTATTTTTATAATAAGGTCTTAATCTCATAAAAAAGATATTTATACAACTGAAGAGAATGAAATGATTGAGTTATTATATTTGTTGTTGTTGTTATGTGCTGTTGAGTCGGTTCTGACCCATAGCGACCCTGTACAGGGTTTCCGAGGGTGTAAATCTTTATGGGAGTAGAAAGCCTCATCTTTCTCCCACGGAGCAGCTGGTAGTTTTGAACTGCTGACCTTAAGGTTCACAGCCCGATTCGTAACCACTACGCTACCAGAGCTCCTTGAGTCATTATATAGTGGTACAAAAAAAAAAACTAATACAGGAACACAAGGGGAGGAATAATTCACTCTCTATTTGTGATGTTTAAGTATGAGTCCATATTTAAGCTTACCTTTTCAGGATAATGTAGAATATCAATGGAAACAATATCAAATAGTGAATGGAATGAGGTCATTTGGGGTTTTAAGGAGAAATGCTTAACGTGCAAATTTGTTGATTTTTAACAGCTTTTGACTGTGTGTCTGTATGTTTGTGACATTGCAAAGATGGGCAGCTGGAGAACAGATAACAGCAAAATTAGATTCATTCTGAACATAAAGTAAGGAGGCTTGACATACCCTGTGAAGAAATGGTCAGTCATAATAGCCATAACTTTAGAAAATAAAAAATAAAAAAGGAATATAACCTGGTAGCTGCAAGAAGGATTGATTGGAATGGAGAAAGATAGCAAAGATGAGTTGTCAGTGCAGTGAAACTTTTGTCCTAGAAAGATAAACTGATGTGCTGATAGAATGATTGCTACCAGGGTAAAATAGATATGATCAGAAAAGCAATCCTTCTGAAAGTATCTTGTCAATACCAGCCACTGATGTAGCATTTTTATTTATGGCACCCTATTAATTGCTTCTAACAAAGCAGGGCAGTATGTATTTTCATCTGTTTCTAGAACAGGAACTTGAGGCTCAATAATTCTGAAATTCTGTCTTAGCTTTAAGTATTTCTGGGATTTGAAGCTTTTTCCCCAACTTTACTACATACAGTTTCCTCATCTGTGAAATGAGTCAAGGCTTTTTTTTTTTTGTGATTTTGATGAAAATTTACAGAGTAAATTGGTTTCCCAATTCATTAATTTGTATACATTTTATTTCATGACATTGATTGCAATCCTTACACTGTAACAACACTCTTCTCACTTCCTCCCTGTGTTTACCAGTTCCATTCCTTCCTTTCCTATGCCTTCCTGACTTCTGAGCTTTATTCCTGGTCAAATGCAGCCCTTCTGATCTCGTATATGGTTGATTGTTCTAAGGGGTGTGTACCTCCCTGATGTTATTGTTCACTTTGTCTATTGTTGGACCGAAAATTGATCCTCAGGTGAGTTTAGTTCCAAGATTGAAGGGTGACTTAAGGGCCATAGTCTTGGGGCTCCACCAGTCTCTTACAGACCAATGAGCCTGGTCTTTTATATGATTTTGAGTTTTGTTACACAATTTTCTCCCACTCTACCCAGCACTGTCTATTGTGATTCCTTTCAGAGTGGTCAGTAGTGGTAGCCAGGCAATGTCTAGATCTTCTGATCTCAGGGTCGTGGAGGCTGAGGTTCACATAGTGCATTCGTCCTTTGGATTAATTGTTTCCATGTGTCTTTGATTTTCTTTAGTCTTCCTTGGTCCGAATAGGGAGAGTCTAAGAGTTGCTCCTTAGGTGACAACTCACAAGCTTTTAAAACCCCAGTTGTTGATCACCAAAATAAGATGTAGAATACTGTCTCTGTGAACTATGCCATGCCAGTTGGTGTCACCTAAGACTGTGGCTCTAAGTCCCTCCGCACAGCTACAAAGAGGCAATAGAAGTGAAGCAATAGACAAGCCATTTTGGCTGCATGAAGGAGTCATAGAATAAATGGTGAGAATTTCAGGCAATTGAAGTATATAAAAATGAATTGCCAGTGAATCAATACTGACACTTGTAAGATAAACCAACAACAAAACTGCCCATAGGGTTTTCAAGGCTCTAAATCTTTATGTAAGCAGACTGCCACATCTTTTAGAACTGATGTATTAGGACTGCTAAACGTTCTGCTTGCAGCCAAGTGCTGAACTACTGTGCCAGCAAGCCTCATTATAATGAAGTGTAGAGATAAACAACTTTCAGCATCTTTGTACTATTTCAGTGCTTGACCCTAGACCTCGCACACAGCAAGTACATATAATCATTAGTTCTCTCCCCCTCCAAGTTCTGTTCTCCTCACCACTAAATTTGATTTTCAGAGGAAGAAAATCCCTGTCTCACTATCCTGTTTTCATTCCTACTTTCCTCTCTAGAAGAAGTTCTAATAGTACAGTGTTTCCATTGTTGGTTTCCATTATTCAGTTAGCAAACTGAAAGGTCAGCAGTGTGAATTCACCAGCTGCTCTGTGGGAGAAAATATGACTTTCTGCTTCTGTAAAGATTTACAGTCTCAGAAACCCTATACATTGGTTGCTAAAGTCGGAACTTACTCCACGGCACACCACCACCACCATTCCTTTATAAACTGTGGCTAGTGTTCTGCACATGAAATTACATGACAGGTGCTTCAGTGTGGATGTGTCTGCCTTGGATAGCAACTACCAAGGTCAGTCTATAGCCACACATCCACTGTGAGAGTGCTTCCTTGAGGCAAGTCATCCTCCTGGATAAAATGGGAGACATTAAAGCAGCTGTGAAAGTACCATAGAGGGCCAAAGAGTAGCTGTGTGCACCACAATTCTGACAAAATCATATCAGGGAGTGCAGATAAAACAAAATAAGTCTTGCATAACTAAAAAGCCTTGAAAATGTTACATTTACAGATGCTGATGGGTATTTCATACATTGAGAGTGGCAAAGAGGATTTTTCTTCTGTGAAGCAAGTATCAGAAGAAAAAGGAGTAGAATCTTGTTCATAGGAAAAATTGCATGGACTAGAATGAGTGGTTGCTTATGTAACCCAAAGTCACTAAGGAGAGCTTCTTAAGTGTCTCATAAAGTTTTCTTCAGTATTGATCCAGGTGCCTCCACAATCTTGGAGATGTCACCTCAACCTTCTATTTTGCACTGAGGATGTAACAACTATTTCCTCTCAGAACACTTCTTACCCAATACTATGTCAGTAATGAGCCTCTAAGAAATTTCTCCCCACAAGTCACTGGTTCCTCTCTGCTTTCACAAGGATTCTAATAACAAGATCACCTATCGCATGGTTAAGATCTGTGTAAACTCTCAATGTTTCCCTGATTGTTAACTCTCTGAGGTCTGAGATAAGTCTTTTTCTTGTGCATTTCCAGAACCCAGCACATTGAGGCACAGTGTAACTCCTCTAAGTGTAACAAAGCAAGCAAATGACAAATTATATGGGTGTGATAAAGTATCAGGTCAGTGGGACTCACTGCAATCAAATAGATTCCGGTGCATAGCGTCCCTATATAGGGTTTCCAAGGCTTTAAAGGAGCAGAAAGCCTTATGTGTCTCCCGAGGAGCAGCTGGTGTGTTTGAACTGCCACCCTTGTGGTTAGCAGTCCAGTGCTTATCCAACAGCAGCACCAGTGCTTCACTTATCCCTCCAATTAGAGGTTGCTGTTGTTATTGTTGTTAAGTGCCATCCAATCACTTATGACTCATAGCGACCCTGTCAAAGGAGCAGCTGGTGGGCTTGAACCATCGACATTTATGGTTAGCAGTCCAGTGTTTATCCTACAGTGCCACACCTGGTCAGGAATGTTGTTGTTATAGTTGTTAGGTTCCATTGAATCGGGTTTCATAGAGACCTTGTGTAGGATTTCCAAGAGCAGACAACCTCATTTTTATTTTGTGGAGTGACTGGTGGGCTCAAACAACTGACCTTGTGGTTCTCAGCCCAATGCTTATACTACAGAGCCACCTTGCTCCCTTGTTGTTGTTGTTATTAAGTGCTGTCGAGTCGATTCCGACCCATAGTGACCCTGTATAGGGTTTCCAAGTAGCAGTTCGTTAGCTTGAACCACGACTTTGCAGTTCAAACAACTTTGCAGTCTGACGACGCATTAGTCCACAGTGCCACACCTTAGGTCAGGGATTAGTCCCTGGAAATTACTTGAATGTTTATAGCTGTCAAGACCTGGAATATTTCAAGGCTTGTTGGTACACTGACAGTTAAAGAGGGTCTTCAAGCTCAGGGTATTCAACACCCTCTCCAAAAAAGAACTTTTCATTTTCCTGGGACAGAATATATTTGTGACTGTTATCTAGTAGAGTATTAACAAACTGGCTTACGTAAACTCACCCATCCACCCAACACCCCCCCACCCCACCTCACACATGTAGTTAAAATAAACCTGAAACTTTTTTGTAGTGTGGGCAGTTTCCATCATGTATATACTCCCTCCGTGGTCAATTTCAAGCTACCAACATGGACTCTGGTGTGGCATTGTAGAATCAGCACAAGTCTGCAAACCACTAGGTTAAAAGTTCAAATCCACCAGCTGTTTGTCAGAAACCCTATGCAGGGTCGCAATGCATCAGAACTGACTCAATGATACTTAACACCAAGTACAACAACATGATGTTATTGAATGTGGAGTTTTAAAGAAATAAGCACAGTTGACACTTTGGAAGTGACTCCAAACACTCTGCTCTAACTTCACCAAGGTTGTCTACTTCACTCTAGACAAAACCCTGCATTTTCAATCACCGACTTCATGTCTTATACTAGCTAGTCTGGACAGAGTCTTC